GACCATCTGCAGTGTTAGGCTTTACATGCTCTACAAAATGCAAAAAAGAACGGGTCTCTAGCATTAATGGTTCCCGAATTATAGACAGTTTTCAGTTTCGGTATCTTATGGTCGCTACTCCCGTGAAAATGCACTGATTGACCCCGAATTCACGAGATGAAAGATTACCCAAAGGGGAACACTTTCCAATAATATTATTGGTTAAGTCTGTGTAGTGTCTGAATAACAGCAAAAATTTTTTTTTTTTCGTAAAAAAATTCGTTTTTTTGAAAATTTTGGCCCATTTGACCTTGAAACAAAGGTCAAAGGTCAAATCCAAGGGCATATCTGAAATCTCCACATATGACTTTCGGTCAGTTGTCTGTAGAAATTTTTCCCATAATTCCTTCCGTAGGGTAGATAATTGGCATTGAATTTTCAAAATTTTTGACAAGGGTGCAATTCAACCAGTGTCACGCCCAGGTCAATGCACCGACTGAGACAAAAAAACTTGGGGGTTCAAGTTGAGGTTATATGTGACCTAAATCCAAGAGATGGAGACAGGGGTCCTTGCGGTCTAGGAAGAGAAGCGGTAACAGTGACTTGTATCCAGCGCCAGTACGCGGAGCCGGCGGAGCCAACGGAGCTGGTGGAGCCAACGGAGCCGGCGGAGCCGCAGGAGCCGGCGGAGCCGGACGAGACGGGTCGAGACTAAAACCATGAGTACCGCCAGCGTACACGCTGGTGGTACTAATTAAGCCGGCTTAAGCGTCTGTCCCGCCTGCTAAAAGCTGTAAAGGGGTAATTATCTATGGTGCGCGCTCGGCTGACTGCAATTTAGCGTGAACCCCCAAGGAGTTAGGTTGATCTAAATCTAAATCTCTGGATCAATCTAAATCTCTGGGAATGCACCCTAAGAGCGCATTCAGAACAACTTGATCCTCAGACTTACCGATTCCATGGATCGAAAATGACCAACCCACTTAAAAGCAGTGCCTATTAATCCCCTGATGGTCTACCCTGCAGGGGCCTAGCAATTAAAATCTTAGAGTCCAGTTTTAATCCGTTTAATGGCATGTGAGGAGGCAGGAAGACCATCAGGGAATTAGGCAGCTTGCTTTTAAGTGGGGTCGGCCAAATTTAGTCGCAGATCAGTTAGTCCATTTATCATTTGTTCTGAATGCAATCTAACAGACCACCTGAAACCTTGTAGCAGAATCCCCTTGCAGACACTGAATAGCTTCCCCACAGGGATTACGCAGCAAGCCTTCAAGTGGGTAAGCCCTATTTGATCCGTGGATCTGTTAGTCTGCGAATCAAGTTTGGTTGTGAATGCAGCCTTTGACAGGTATTATCACATTATTTTTACTCCCATTCACATGTCCTCCACAAGTATGCTTCCTTCTGTATGCGTGTGCGAGTGCGTGTACATGTGTGTGTCAGGGGCGGATTTAGGGCGTCTTCTGGGTCTTCCGGAAGACGGTCAGATTTTCAAATTTACATGGATAGGTATCTAATTTTTCTCTGTCGGAAGACGGTCAAAAATTGGGCGATGGATCAACAAAGATAATTTGGAAGACTGTCAGAAAATATCTCTGGATCCGCCCCTGTGTGTGTCCAGTTAGGTGACTCTCTAGTGTAATAGCCAGCTGAACACTTAGTTGACATTGAATATGAAATGATCTATAGTAATACCACTCCACAGAATAAGCTTAAACAACCAAATATGTTGAAACCCCTGAAAGAGAGAGACATGGGACTTCATCAAGAACAGCAGCTGAATAATACTTCCTTGTCCATTTTTACGATCGATCTAGAACGTACCAAAAACACAACTCAGTACAAAAACAAAGAATGGTCTTATTTTGGATACTGTAACATAAATACTGACATAATGAACCATTTTGACTGTTAATTACCCTCCAAACTAAGCTGGCTCTAGAATACAGTGTCGAAAAACAATAACCTCTATTGTGGAAAGCACTACATCCTCAGATTGAATACCAAAATATTGATACAACAATTAATTTATCAGTTATACTGAAACCAAGCTCATTTTCAAAATGTGGTGTCCAAAAACAAAAAATGTTCCTAAATACAGATATTAAAATATTGACATAACTTTAAGTTTAACGGAAAGCTCTTCAACAACGTAGTTCTTTCTTTCTCTGAAACCCAGAAGTCTTTTCCCTCAGTAAGTAAATAAATAAGCTAGCATCAAAAACATAACAGATAGACAGATACTTCAAACACTATAAATCTGGCTGTTTTTCCCCATTTTTTCAAGATTTATCATTTTTTCTACCTCACAGAATCATATTTTTCAGACACAAACTGAATCCAGTTTTCAAAAATTTTAGGACCTCTTTTTCAGCTTTTAATTTCTTTAAACATGTTACTTAACAATTTTTTAAGAATCTAAAAAATGATTACTGAACTTGGTGAGTGAATGCTCTACATTGTTTTTTACTTTCAGTCCACTTATTAATCTGTTAACCTTCAAGTATTTATTCCCTTAAAATATTTGGAAAACACCAAGCCCAACTGGCATATGTTGCTTTAATAAAAGGCTAACCCCTTAAAAAAGCATCCCTAATGGAATGAAAATGTATTTTAAAAGTTGCCACACATTAGAGCCATTTTTACAAGACGTTATAATTATTATCCTGCTGTGAAAAATACACTTCAGCATTGCAAAAGCAACACGGAAGAGACACCTCAAAAGTACCAAATTAAAGATAAAATTTTGTTTGAGGCACTTTAGTGGAAAGGCAACCAGGGGCATGTTTCAAAAATAATAAGAACAATAAAAATTTCAATGTACCTCAACTAAAATTTGCAACTCTCCTCTAAAATGAAGCATTTATTAGTCAAACACATCAACATTTTTCTTTTTATAAAAGAGGCATGTTTATTTGACTATTACCCATTTATACTGAATCAAAAAAAACTAAACCTCTTGATCTTCAAGCTAAAACTATCTTTTTGTCTTAAGTTTTTCCGTTTAAACAGTTTGAGCCTTTGACCCAAGTTCTTTTGGCTTTGGCAAATGAGTTCTGACCTGCGACACAAATCAGCTAAGTGTAAATGCACCTCCCATAAAATCTGTTTACAGAAACCACAACAGACTCAAAACTAGCAATTTTAAGCACTTCAGTATTCCTATATATATTTCAATATTCCTCCTTTTTTACTATTCACAACAAAAAAACTCCTCTCACTTTTCATAACTTCTGGCTTAATCAATCTGAAGTACTGCCAACAAAGCAATGCTTTAGGATTTTCACTTTTATAAACTCCATTTGTATTTATTGATTTTCTTGATATAAATCAGACAAAGAAATTCCCTGTCATCTCATTCTTTCTGGTTCCAATTTCAAAAGTAAAAATGCTGCTTTTTCTTTTCCTATCAGTAACTTAATTGACATATGCAAAACCAACAATTTCCTCCAGAAGGAAATCACACTTATTCAAATATTTAATTTTTTTGGCTTGTGTCAGGCACACTCAGGAAAATACCAGGGGGAAAATAACACAGGAAACCATAAATCCAACTCGTACCTCATGGTTCTGGCTGAGCTATTCTAATAGATCTCTCCCACCCATTGAAATACCATCAGATTATCATGTCAATTTTGAATAAATTCATCTTTAATTTAGAAAATGGATACTTTCATAGTTATTAATTATTTCAAAGCCTGAAAAATTATCACCAATGTTAAGTAAAAATCTCAGCCAACAGATTTCCCTGCAGTTACTTCAAGTGGAACAAAACTGGTGATAACTA